GCAGCCCCCTTTGGACCCCCCCCAGGCTCCCCGAGAGCCCTTTCCGCGGCCTCGCTGACCCCGGAGCACCCACTGCTCCTCGCCGCCAGCCAGGAAACCCCGAGGACAGCCACGCTCTGCTCCGAGCCCCCCAGGTCCCCTCTGGCCCCTCAACACCTCTCCCGAGGTGTTTTGTTTTGTCCTTTATTGCTGTTCCAGCCACTCGGGCCTGAGTTACAGTGCTCAGTACAGTTTCTGATGCGTGGCGTTTTTGTTTCAGCCCTACTCTTGCATTTTCCGTCCTTTAGGACCCATTTATATCTGTTTCGGGGGTCAGCTGGAGAAACCTTCTCGGAGTCTGGGTGACTGGGAGCTGCTGTTGGTGATTTACAGTGAATAATTCACTCTGCAGCTGGGGATATTTCAGAGAAGGATTCTTATGGGATCTAGTTCTGCCCTGGCAGCCCGTCCTGTCCGAAGGCAGTGCTGGTACCAGTTCAGCAGCGTGTGTAGTCTTGATAGACACGAACAGCAACAGCACCGGGTTTTTTCCTCTTTCAGACAGAAAACTAAAGCACGTAATTTCTGCTGGTAATGTTGGTACTACATTTAATGACCTACTTTCCCATGTAACTTCGTATTATATTATTTGTATCTATTTAAACAAAGGTCTGTGTTCTGCCCAGTAAAATTAAGTTTAATTACCGACCTGGTCGGGTTGTTGGTGCGACGTACAAAGCTGCAGCGAAGGAGCAGGTGGCGTCACCTCCGGCAGCCGTCCGTTCCTCGGTTTGGTGCTTGGCGTGCTGCAAACCCAAGCCAGAGCAGGAGGCGCGCTGCTGCACGTCCCCACCCGGGTTTTTTTTTTTTTTCTTGTTCCCCCCCCGTTTCTTTTTCCCCCCTGGTCCCAGCTGCTCTGCGGTATGTAATGCAGAGACGGACCGTGGGGAGATGGCCACGGGTCTGGCTGCGGAAGGGCGCGTGGAGGTGAAGCAGACGCCCAGCGCAGAGGAGGGCTGGGCTGTGAAGCGTAACTGGTTTGTGTGACTGTGGGACTGTAAATTCGTTCGAGGGGCTTTGTGGTTTCTGGTGTTGTCTGACGGGTGGGCGCTTATTCTTGCGTGCAGGCATGGAAGGCGAGGGCGCACCACAACGCGCAGAGCTCGCTCGTTTTCCGCCCGGGAATCCCAATGGCGGAGGCGATGGTGCCGTGAAGAGAGAGTTGCGAGGACGCTAAGGACGGCTGCGTGCCTCACACAGAGCGAGGTCCTCTGTGCTGCGCGTGTGTGACCTGGCACGGTGTTTCAGCGTTACGCATCGTACCTGCTGCGATGTGTTCGTCCTCGCCGCAGCTTGCCTTCGTCTCCGCCGTGTCCTGGCGTCGTCACAGGTTTCGTCGGACACGCCGTTGGCCGGCGCTCAGGCTCGTGGCTGGTTTCGGGTTTCGTCGGACACGCCGTTGGCCGGCGCTCAGGCTCGTGAGGTTGGGGGTTGGGTGCAGCCAGTGGCGGGGGGGCGGGGCCCCAGCCGGTGGTCCGATGCTGCGGTGTATCTGCTGCACGCTCGTTCGTTCGTTCGTTCCCCCGGGAATTTGGGGTTCCCAGAAGAAAGGGCTGGCGGAGCTGAAGTGCGAAATCCGGACCGAAGCGCTTGTCCGACCTCTGGTCACGCCGAGGTGCTCCCGTTGTTTTTCCCGGGATTTCCAACGTCCCTGGTTTCTGTCATTTTAATTTTTACCAGTTGTTATTTACTTTAAGCCACCTAGAATAAAAACTTAAATCACAGCAACTAGAAGAGTTTTATGAGCAAATAATGCCTGGACTGTAGCTATTATGCAAAACTTTACAGACAGTAATTGTTCCCAATTTATATTATAAAATTACAAGCAGTAAAATATAAATAATAGAGCACTAATTGGGATTAATATCTCTGACGAAACAAATCTAGTCAGTGTTAAAAAAAACCCAAATCACAGGCCCTAGTTAATCCCACTCAGTAGTAAAGGGACGATTAAAAAGTTAGAGTGGAAATAAATAAAGGAGAGATTATTTAGGGATGAGTCATGACTAAATTTAATCATAGCTATTACTTAACGAACCAGGCGGTAATTATTCCTAATCTGTATTGTAATTAAAAA